TGCAGTGAAGGAGTGTTGCTTTGAGGCCTGCTTGGATCAGGAGACACGTTGCTCGATTCTGTTTATAGTAAATATGTTCATTTCAATGGCGGAAGCAAGCACTGAATGTATATAGGGTCTGTTCCAGCTCAAGTTATTCAAAAGTATATTTTTTGAATATACAACTCTGATTGGATTTCACGTTGGCCTAGGCTTGGATCCTAAACCGGAACGAGCCAGCTTTATGGACCCTATGTTGCTGCTGTCCGATTCCATGCTTCCTTCGGCTGGGCCCTATGATGAGACGCAGTTGCCCTGCTCCCCAAACCAGCTTATGAACAGTGATGTGGCTTTGGAGACCGTGCGGTCTGTGGAGAAGCATGATCAGGAGGTCGAGAATCAGGTACGGGGCGTTAAAAGATTATTTCGAACCATGTGATCATGCAGTTAGCCAACACCTCAACAGTGCTTTGATATCCAGCTAGAACAGTCGGTGAGTGTATTGATTGTTATACACTAAACCGGTGCTTAGCCTGAAGGTGATGGAAAATGGTCTTGATGACGTCATCATTCCAGACCATGAAGTTGTGACAAGGCGGAAGCAATTCCGCATGAAGAAGGATTTGGCTGAACAAAAAAAGAAGAAGAAGCAAGATAAGAAAGAAGAGAAAGATAGAAAGAAAGAAGAGAAGGACAAGAAAAAAGCTGAGAAAGCCGCGGCAGCTGAGAAGAAAAAGGCTGACAAGGCTTTGAAACAAAGAGGCCGCAATTCAAAGGAGAAAGCCAAGGAGCGGCAAAAGAAGCAGCGGAAAGCTAAGAATGCTGAGCCGGATCCACAGGCGGCGGCATCAGCTTCACAGAATGATGCAGTGAGGAGTCGAAAGATGAAAAGACTTAAGAAAATGTCTTCCTGGCACAAATCTCACGAGGACTTGGCCGAAGTCGATGACTCAGCGGCCAAGAAGAAGGAGAATGGCTCCAAAAAGAAGGAACCTGAGAACTTGCCAAAGGAGAAGAAACAGAAAAAGGCGGTGCCAAAAGAGTCAACAGCAAAGACCAAGACACTGAGCAAGAAGCCAACGAAGAACAAGGGAATTGCCACTGTGAAGCAATCTGGGGAAAGGGATGAGGAGGAGGAGCCAACGGAGATGATGCAGCAGAAGGTCCACGGAGTGGAGGTGGAAGAAGGCAGGATTGAGGGAGACAAGGACAAGACGGAAAGGAAGAATGATGCAGCAAGAGTCGAGGAAGAGGAGGTTGATGACCCGCCGGTTGATGACGCAAAGGTTGAGAAGAATAGGAAGCCAAAGAAGCAAAAGAAGGAAGAACCGAAGAAGAACAAGAGTCAGTCAAAGGCCAAGACGGCAGGCAAAAAGAAAGGGAGCTCGACAAATCCCGTATCCAGCAGCAAGAAGCTTGCATGGAAATATAGCAGGGGAGCGACTCGGCATCAGAACTTCTATATGAAATACAAATGTTCAATTGTTATCCGTGAAATAGAATGATATACTGTGCCGTATTGCGTGTTCAATTGTTGCATCAGTCTTTACACAGGCGTATACACCTATACTGTTGACTTGTGTCTCTTAAAAAATCGCACGATCAAGCATGCCATCATGTGAACAATCTCAGGAGAAATGCTGCGAGATCATCAACTTTGCGGCGGCGGACATGCGAGATGTGAAAGCAGGTGCCTACTCGTCCAGGGTGTGTCCAGTCCTCTCGGCTCTTGCGACAGCCCACTCAAAAAAGGCGGACACCTGATCTGAGTGAGTTGCAGAATCCTTCAACTCTTCTTTTATATTTTTTTGATGTCCATGATAGTTCACAACCCTGTATACACGGGTTATGCGTGCCAAATGCAAATCTTTGTTTGTGGGGGGCCTTGTATAACATCTCCAGAGCAGACGGTGTATGCAACCCCTTCAGCTGAGGAAGATGCAGTTCACGAGGTCTTCCGGCTGAACAATCTATATTACCCAGTGAACATTAGCACTGAAGAAGCACCTCCACTATTGGGTGTCCCATGGATTCGACCCTCAGACTTTTTGGGGGCAATGGCCAAGATGAATGACCTTAGCCACGTTCTTGGAGGCTACTCACTTGACGAGGCCAAGGATAAGCTGGCCAGCTTCTGGTCAAAGTTTCGAGCAATTTGCCCTGAACACCAGTTGTGGGCCGACGTGGACTCCAAGAAGAAAGACATTCACAAATGTATACCTTTGTTTCTGCACGGGGACGAGGGTGTCACCTACAAGAAGGGTGGAGTTTTGGTGGTGTCATTTCAAGGTGCCTTTGGCTGGGGTTCATCCAAACGGGGTAGAGAGATGGAAGAAAACTACCGGGCCATGGGAGAAGGTATTCCACTGAATTTCCTCAAGACTGGATTCCAAACACGTATGTTGATCTACGTGATCCCGAAGGAGTATATGGGGTCAATGTTGCTGAGTTTTAATGGGTTAAATTGTTTGTTAGAAGGGCAAGGCTTTCTATTTATATGGCATTTGTTGGCCCTATGCAGGACATGTATGCCGATGACAGAAGGGTCTGGAACTGTCTTTTTGAGAATCTGGCCAAAGACCTCGAGGTCATTGAGAGGAATGGCATAAACGCCGCCGTTGGTGGAACATTCTGGCCGATCTTCCTTGGGAACAAGGGTGACTGGAGCTACTTGGCGACTTGACCTATATACAGTATATATTCTTTTGGTTGGAAGTTCGGAAGTGTTTTTTGGGGCGTGCTATGTTTTGTTAATGGCACGAATTCATATTTCTGTGTTACATCTACTTTGGGACGGCATAGTGTAGCAAAGGTGTCGAGCGCAAACCTTCTGCGATCGTATAGACGGGCTCCGAAAGGAGCTGGCGCTGCTGGTGATCAAGGAGTGGAGGGTGGCGGGATTTGCCATCTTTGTGAATGTGGACAAGGAATTGACTGGGAAGACCTGTTTCTATCCTTTGCATCAAGACTGTTTTTGTGTGTTTGATTTGGTTTCTGCACATGGTATAGTGCAGTGCGTGATTCCTTCAAGCCATGCACTTCCACAAACTATATAGTGGCGGGTGTCCCACCCAAGACATGTGTTTTCTCAGGAAAGCCGCTGAAGCGGCTATGGAAGAATCTTTTCATCGTGAATTGCCTGTTCCTTGGGACAGGGAATGTGCCCTGACAAGACGACTTTTGGTCGATGGCAGTGTCAATGGCAAATGCAGGTTTCATGTTATTGACCCGTGGCACGTGATGCATCTTGGAATCGGGAAGGCTTGGGTTGCATCCGGGGTCATGATGCTTCAGACCTTGCTACCTGAGAGCACGATTGGTGAGAGGATTGCTTCCTTGGCCGCTGGTTACAGAGCTTTTTGCAAAAGAGAGAAGCTTGACCCGGTGATTCGGCGGGTGGATCTTCACACGTTTGGAGGGACTGCGGAGCCCAACGGGACATGGAACAAGGCTGCTGTTACTAGCAATTTCATGATGTTTCTCGAGGACTTTTGCATGCAACACTCTTCAGCTATAGAGAAAGATCAACCCCTACGAATCTTTGTCCCTAGATTCAATTTTGTGCGCTGGCTTTTGTTGTTCAAATTGTTCGTTGTTCAGAACTTTTTACTTGACCCCAAGCACTGTTTCAGGGATTCGTCTATAGAGACCCCTTGCTTGCTCTGTATAATGAACGTGTGAAAAGAATGAGGCGTATGGAACGAGGAAGGCGAACCAGTTCTTTCGAGGCATTTACGGCAACGACGTATGGATGCCGAGTTCTACCGCTCTTGCTTTAAGCAATGCGCTCTACACCTTTCTCCGAGCGTATATGTATCAAGCGCATCACGCTTGCTCAAAGGGTTTGAAGCACTTTCCGTTGCTGCCAAAGCTTCACTTTCTCCACGAAGTGGCGTTTGAGATGAAGCGACAAGCAGGGATTGCAAGCTATACTTTTAATCCAGCCGTTCATTCGTGTGCACTCGATGAAGATGCTATAGGCCGCGCTGCGGCCGTGACGCGATGTGTATCGCCAAAATTGATCTCATTGAGGACATTACAAAGGTACTTGGCGTACATCCAAATTGCATGGGCTCGCAGCTAAAAAGCCAAAGGGTGCTGGAGCTGGGACTGGGAATTGGAGGGCAGGAGGTATAGAGTTGGATGCTTTGTTTTATTGGCCACCGCTTGTCCTTATAGAACCTGTGGTACAGGAAACGTAATGGAGAATGATGGACCTATAGACATTCTTTGGATCAAGAGCGATATATCTAAAAGCATGAAATACTATACATATTAGATTAAAAGCCATGGACGTGAAATACCGTTCATGGACGTGAAAAACCGTAGGCCCACACATATGGACGTAAAGCACCGTACATGGACGTAATTTTGATGAAAAAGTCATAAAAGAAAGCTTTTTGCAACATGGCCAGGAAAAGGTATCTATCCAGGGCAGCAGGTATGTTTATTACCTGCAACAGCGAGTAAACACGTATGACTATTGTTGAACCCATCCTTTAGTAACCATCATCATCCACTGTTACTGGTAACAGGATAGACCCAAGAGGATGGACAAAGTCAAACCCCTGAACCAAATCAATATACATCGCCGCCCCTGCGCCCCCGATTTCAATCTTATACATGTGACGGCGCATTCAAGGTTTTGATTTGATTCGTCCACTCAAGCCAACCTACACTCAAGCCAATCCCGCACCAACATGCCAACATCGAAATATGGGGGGGTAGGGGGGTAGCAAGGGCTTGAAGAATTCAATGTTGTTGTCGGGCGATGGCCCTGCCTGCGTGCGAGAACCTGGTTCCTCACGCGTGCTATGGGCTGAGACGGCTTGCGCTCAGATTCTCAGTGAAAGAAACACATATTTTTCAAATATATATTTATAACTTTCCCGGGATTTTGGCTGGCTGGCACCCTATATAGCCATAGCGCAATTGGTTCACCTGCCTTGATTGCAAGTGTCGTAAACACGCAATCCCGACCCATCCCGCACTGTTTTCTGATTGACGCTGTGACGCGGCAGACCATCATTGGCAGCATGGACACGGGTGTCCCAAAGGTGGGTTGGATCGATCAGTTCCGCCGTGTGGGGCGGGGAGCGAACGAGTCAGAAATGGTGGATGTTCTGGGCCATTTGGGGCAGTTCTTTTTGGGCCTCAGTGTATTTTGAGGTGCAATTTCGAGGTGAAGACGTGGAAGATTGATTTGATAATTCTGAGAGGAAGTGAGATCCCTCGCCAACCAACTTCTCCCAAAAGGATGATGATGTCATCATTTGTTCACCAGAACACTTGTGGCTAAAGGCAAGTTATAGACTATAGAAAACCTTGTGAGTTTGTATGGCTGGAAACTGGTGAGCCAATCTGGTCCTCCTTACTTGCGATTCTGCCAAGAGGCGGAAGGAAAACGGAGGAGGGGTTCCAAGGCTGTGGCTCAACAAAGGAAATTGGAACACATTTAAAGTTTGATATGGTTTGATTGGCTCACAAAGGCTGGAAATTCCAGCCGCAAGTTGGTTTGATATGGTTTGATTTGGTTTTGGAATTCAATTTTTGTGCGTCACATTGACTGCAATGACCAAAACCACTGCATGAAACGACAACAATTGGTGGGATGAGTTCTTCTACCTTGACATCAAGGTGCGATATATCCCTAGGGCTCCTGTCCCACCTCCGTTTCGAAGATGGGACTGGGGTGGGTGCCAGGGGGGTCTAACCACCTCCTGAGGAGATGGGCCAGGAGCCCTAGGGTATTGTATTCCCATGTTCCATCCAAATTTGAGGAGACTTCCTGGCGTAGAGCAGAGAAGGATCTTGTCACATCTTCATGTGGTCCCAGGCTACAGGGTTGGTTGGCAATCCTCAGGGTGCCCAAAATTAGTCAGCAAGCCACCTTCTTTCGGTAGTCAGTGAGTCTATGATGTTTTTGTTGCCGTTGATAAAAAGGCGCGCAACGATGTCTTTGTTCCGGGTTTCCATGACCCCAACCCACTCACCAGTCCGTGTATCTTAGACTGGCAGACCCTTGCAAAAACATTTGTTTGGAGGAACATATCATGATGAGATCGGGACCCAATGAATGGACGAAGAACGCCCAAATCCAAGAAGCATGTCCCGCGTTCACTGTTTGGCACTGCACCCACCCACCACTTGCTTGGCACAAGAGCGAACTCAGTAGCTCGTCCGCGCAAGCTCTTCGCTGCTCCAGGCGGATGACTTGTCTCAGCTTGCCTATAAGATCGGCTAACACGAAGATGATGCGAAGCCCCGCCACAAAGGGTTCACAGCGAGCAAGCAGAAACGGAGCCCCGCGCGGACCGTGAAAACGGGGTGGCGCGGACCTTTGTGGCGTTTAAAGGACATAGTTGGACCATGTTCCCATTCATTGGAGTAGCATGGAGTAGCAATGTCCCATGGGTTGCTGATTGTTTGAATTGTAGCACCACCTGCATGCGCCAGACGCACTGGCTTCCGCAGTGGTCGCAGAACCCATGGAGAAAGCATGATAAAACCAATGAATCAATGAGGTCGAAAACAACACACTCCAAACCACAGGAAAAAACAAATTACTTGCCAGCCTTCAACTCTTCATGGCCTGCAAGCTTATCTGTGACTGGATGTCACATTTAAAACCTGAAAGGTGACCAGTCTGGTTGGTGCAGTTGCGCACCATGACCACCGCACCCATGACTCCATGACCACGAAAAGGCCTTGCGGTTCCTGAAACAGGCGGAGTTGCACGCGATCACCAAAGCGGCCAAGAAGGAGTGGGAGGACCGGCGTTCCCGACCGACTCACAAACCCGGTCACAAGGGATGAGACGAGGGTCGGAGAACGAGGTTCGAGGTCCAGGTAGTGCTAGTTCGTGGTCGGACTGGTAGTCAGGAGTCGACTGGTAGTGCTAGTCCGACATGTATCAAACAAGAATTGAAGCTATTCCAATGAGAGTTCCATGAATTTGAACTTTGAGATCAAATATGGACAACCAGACGGTTCCAATGAGCTTTGAACGTTTTGTGGCTTGTCTCACAGACTGAAAGGACGGTTCCACTCCAGGAACTCATTGTAGAAAAAATAAACTCACCCTGCCCCAGGTGCTATTTTGCTTTCTTCATTCCGATCCAAGCGCCTTTGCCCCTCTCTCGAGGGAGAGAGTGTGGAAGTTGCTGATGAACCATTTTTTTAAAGCTAAACATCCGACCAATGGAACACATGTGCTTCGTGATTGATCTTTTTTCAAACAAAAACCTTGCCAATAGACTAGTCTACACTACTTGTGGATCTCCATGTTTCGCACCCCGACATGAAGGTTCAGCCATGTGTCTCGCTCCACACCGAGCATTCGCACACCCCGGTCCTTGTGCGGAGGACCTCTCGGGTGGCAGTGGCACAGGTCCCGGGCGAAGCCAAAAAAGCGTTTTTTGGAGCCGGATTTGTTTGAGAGCCCAACCAACAGAGGTTGAAGAACCCTATAGGCTATTCCATAGGTACCCCTGGTTACGGGTCCTAGTTCAGGTCACTTAACCTCTATTGGAAATAGAAGGCCATACGTACACACACTATGTTATAGTTGGCAGGTTGATTCACTGAGGGGACACCTCCGGTCGTTTCAGAAGCAATATGGTGTATGACCTCAACCCTTCAAACATGCCAGATGCATGGTGGGCAGTGGGAGGTTTGAGCACGTTCCTTTTAGGTCACTTCACCTCCCCTAGAAGTACACCTTCTACGAGAAGCTAGTCTGTTTGTAAGATCATGGAACGTTTTCTCAACACATCGGTGCTATTCGGTGCTTCTCCCCCCAGTAAAACAGGTTATTTGTTTGCCATTGGATCACTAGCTCATCATCATCATCATCATCATCATCATCATCATCATCATCATCATCATCATCATCATCATCATCATCAAACCACCTGCACCCACTTGCTGCCACAAATCCTTCCAGTTGACTCAGCCAAACGGGCCTCGGGAGACCTGGAGACCTCGCATTTCGGGGATCGACTCGCAGGTGAGGTGCGAGAGCTCCCAGATCAGGTGAGTGGGGGGAGTGAGGAGGTCGGTTGGGGGTTCTCGAGTGCGAATCAAGCCCGTTTGGGCTCCTGCCCCCACCTCCGTGTCGGTGTGGGCTTACACAAATGGGTAGGTGCCAGGGGGGGGGTCGAAGACCACCGAACCTGAGGGGTTGAAGCCAGGAGCCAGGAGCCGAAAGCGCCTTCGGTGCCAGAGGAAGATCTTGGGAGCCTTCATGTGGCAACTTGTTTTGTGCTGACCTTGTTCTGATCTTGTTTTGTCCTGCAAGCGAGATCCTGGGCTAGCAAAACTGGACCTCAGATTGCTTGAACAAATTTCAAGTCTTATGTGCGAGATTGTGCGAGACAAAATATGTGAATCCTTCTTGGGGGTGACCTAAGTGACCTACATTTGGAGAAGGGGGACAGCCCAGCTTCGTTTGATGAGAGATGTAATTTTCCATCAAAGTGATTGGTTCAGGAGCGTGTTTGTGATTTGTTCCTATGGCAACGCATTTCCTGTAGTAACTTTAGCAAATTGTAATATAAACATACGTATGTTTATATTACAATTTGCTAAAGTGCATACCTAACTACAGTATAGATACTGACCCAATCTCCAGCAACTGCCCACATCTTAGTCATTTTCGATTCTACTCGCCCACCAAAGATACCAGGCACATGGCATGGTCATGGAGCTCTTCCGTTTACACCGCCAGGCCCGACGACGCGTCGCCGCGCGCGCCGTCTCGTGCGCGTGGTCTTCGCTGTTTGGGCGACTGCCCTCGGATGGTCGGGTTGGAAGTGCATCAGATCGATGAGACGAATGGGACTGGCTGAATAGTTATATACCTGCATGAACATACACATTTACCCCATGAAAATGACCCATCCATGTATATATAAGTAACGATTCAGCAAATGGGTGGTTTGAAGAGAAGAAATCATGCTCCGGGCGCGTGGTGGGAGTTTGTCGCCTCTTCCTGATGCTGATGGTGACGGTTGATGATGTTTGACACCCCCATATGGAGATGTGAAAGTTCATCCAGGTAGGAGTGTGATTATATTAGTCAACAGTCAACATTACCCAGACAGTCCACGCACGATATTTAGCTACATTTTAGGGTTCAATGTAGGTCAACGTGCCATACATTGATTGTAAGGGTTAGATCAGCTGTGACTTGGGTTGTTTGTTTTTGATACGGCTTGGGCTAGGCTGTTCTTGTACAATTGGGGCCACAAGTTGGTAAACGTTTGTTTCTCAGAAGATGCACTGTGATGTAATGAGGTCCAACGTGTGTTTGCTGCTCTTGCTAAGCGAGCAGGTTGCGGATAAAAACACTGATACTGGCTGACTGATACTCACATATATCGCAGGTATCACATGCACTACATAACGTAGGTAACCATAGGTCTATTGTAGCAACACAGCTGCCTACTGAGCTGCGCACGCATTTTTCACCACTGCTGCCTATGACTCACCTCGTAAATACTGTACATGTTTCCGAAGGTTTCTGGATTGCCAGGTACCTGGCAAATTTGTGGGAGGAACCAGCAGTGCGTTCGCAGAAACATACTGGAGAGCTCCAGCCTCTAGCTCGTTCAGAACTATTGGCCACCTGCTATAGTAACTCTATAGTGCTTGCGCCGGCAAAGATCCAGTTGCGGGGTGTGAACTACTTTCGATATTTGTATCTCCAACAATGTGGTGCAAGAAGGTGATTTGGACCATCCCATCAGCAAATGAAACACAATATACACAAGTCAACACCTTGACATTGTTCGTTAACACGTTCCCCATGTGCGCAACAAGATACGTGGGGGTTTCCCATCGTTTTCCTCCCTCGGGCGGAGTTACACATGCCTCTCTTGCGAGGCGCGCAGCAAAGTTGACACCTCCAAACTTCCGCTCAACACGCGACTTGCAGAATGCAGAATCGCCTGGGCTGGTCCTATACCTGTGCGCATCCTACCCAGTCCCTGAAGTATGCTCAAGCCGGCTTACTTGAGGCTTCTGAACTTCCGAAGCACTGATCAACACGGAGTTCCAGGGGTTTTTATCTCAGCACTTGGGGCGTCGAAGGTTGAAGTTTGTGGATCACCTGCCTGAGCATTTTCTCGGGGAACGGTTTCTCCACAGAGTGAATTCAGTATAGGCAGGCTTCCCAGGTGGCCTAAAGTGAGGAACAACTCCCGAGTGTTTTGCTTTGCATATCCATGTCCACTTCAGGACCTTGCCTGGTGGCTTTTCAACAGATATCAACAAATAGCAGCAATCCCATAGTGTGGTAGTGTGTTTGGGTGTTTCATGGTGTTTCATTTGTTTGACATGTTTGGGATCCATCCTCATCCCCCGTGAAACCGCACTGGTTGCAAAACCAGTGCTAGCTGGCTAGCCGCCCTTCTCTTGTGGCTTCACGAAATGAAGGAACTGACCAGGTCACGCCGTCCTGACTCTCGCGTCATGCCAGGGCCCACGTCAACGGGTGCTTCATGGATACAGGCAACCCCTTAACCTCTAAAATAGAGTCGACAAGGAGCTATATATTAGACACTCCCTGGGGGGGGGCCCTGGTATATCTTGAAAGGCTTCTTGACACGTGAAGATTCTGGACACCATGCGTTTCACACAGGCTGATGTGGTCAATGCCATGCAAGACTTGTTTGCCTTTTGGATCCTTGGAAGATCCACCAGCCAAACAGTATTTAGTAGGTAAACCGTGTTTCGAGGTGATTGAGTCCACCCACTTCCAACAAGCTGCAGGAGCTCCTGCAGCATCCGCCGTTTCCCCCAGCTCCGCCGTGAAACTCGCGCATTCGGCCACTTCACCGGTGACCTTCGGACCGAGCGGCGCCGAGCCCAGGACGGCAGTGGAGACCTCCCCGTCCCAGGACCGGAAGCGGAGCGGCGAAAGCGGCGAGCCGCCAGCGCGAAAAGGGGAACACGCGCGTCGAACGCGCGCCGAACGATGAGCGGATGTGATTTAATAACCCAGACACTCCATATATAACCGCTGAAACCAAGAACGATATGCCAGTCCCATGGAGTGTCTGGGTAATATAAACATCATTGTTTCGATGTCAACCACCAGCGTTTCAGCAGAAGAAACGCACCGGGTGCTCTTTCGGGTTATACTCCGAATCCACGGAACAGTCCCTCCGCGCGAAAGGTGGAGCAACACGTATACCGTATACCGTGTGCTGCTGGGCTGTTCCGAGAATCGCTGCAAGTCGGGTGAAAGGACGCCCCGTTTCGGACGGCGGACGTGGACGCTTCCTTTTCGAAAGACCTCGAAGAAGTGCCTTAAAGT